TCTAAAAACTGTATTTGTGTTATTAAAACTACATTTAATTTTATTATATTTAACCAATTCGGAATCTCTAACTCTTATAAGTCTATCACTACTGACATCACAACTATTATTACTCAATAACCAACATATTGACGACTTACGAACTATTAGTTCATTATTTTTTTTATCTTTGACAATAATGAATTCGCTTTCAGAACTTATTCTACTTTTATCCATTTTATAATTTTTCAAGTCTAATCCTTCAGTCACACTGGATAATACCATCAAATCTTTCATCAAAGTGGCCTCATCATTTTTCTTAATAGATACCTCATTTTGAAGCTCAAGTTTATCAAATTCTGACAAAAGCTCTGAAGGAATTATCGAAATATCATCGATTAGATCACTTTGAATGATATCCTCCTCATCGAATTCTTCGGAAACCACGTCAGTACTAAATAATAAAACATTTTCACATTCACTTATATCTACTTCAATTCCGACAGATTTTATTTCACGAAATGCGTCCTCTTTCGCTTTGTGCAGCATGTTAATTAAAGTATCGGGGTCAGGTAGTGCACTGTTTGTTACCTGTGCATTTGTCTTCGAATCAAATCGAGGGAAACGAAAATCTTTAGTAGAATCGTTACACGTACTGCTTGCAATATCGTTTTGAAGTTGAATACGCTGTATTCTGTGTATCGTTTCGAGCATGCTCGTATTTACAATAGTAGAGTATGTACTACTCATAGATCTCAATCGACGAAAGAAACTTTCACAAGTTTGACTAGAAAAAAGCCATGGCAAAAATAGATGTTCCATTCCCTCGTCTTTTAACTTCAAAATTATGTTAATCAATTCTTGAGCGTTGATTTCCATAGAAGTATAAAAGTATTTAAAGTAATAAAATTATCAGTCAACGAATAATCAGAATTATTTAACCAAACTCTCCAGTACCTTAACACGAAAATGCAAAACCATGCATTATATACTCGTTTTAATGGATCCAAACTTTTATCCAAGAAAGCTTTCGTAAACAAATTAATGATTTTTAAATAGAGCATAGTGCCATTACTTCCAGGAACTTTTTCAGCGAGTAAATCAGTTATTCGTTGATAAGATATTTTCTCGACTGATGCGTAATTCATTTTGTCTTTCAACGATATATCTTTTAAAGTTAACAGATGTTTATCTTTAGATACTGTTTCTATAATCGTTTGCAGATGGACGGCTGTAGCTACGTAATTACCAAAAGGTAAAATAATTGTCGGTGTAAGTAAGCGCGTTCGACATTTTGCTCCCGCGTGCACTGTATCTTGAGTAACAAAAACTCTTTCAGTATTGAAATCGGCACAAAAATATGGAAAACGGCCTCTGCAATTTTTCATTTCAGTTGCTTGAGTTCGTAATTTTACTAGTATTCACATTGCCTTTAAAAGGCGAGGATCACCATCAGCCGAAGTGCCTAGTACCTTAATGCCTTCAGTTTTTAAACTATCAATAATAAAATCCCAACGCTTTTTAACTTCTACTGATGTAAATTTATTATCTGTACCAAATAGACACAAGCAAAAGGACGGTCCTCTCTCTACTATAGACTGAGCCATTATAACGTAAACTAATTTAGCCACGGTGCCTGTTTAAAAATATTCCTCTATTTTCTCTACTGATGTTGCCATAAATTTATTCGGAATAGGCAGGCCATTTTTATAGAGCGCTAGTAAAAAACCAACGAGTTGATTGGTTTGTTTATCGTATTGAACGCGACCTGTGATTCGCGTAGCATCTTCACTCAACCAGACTGTTAAAGGTAAACTTCTCGATGTCAAAAATTGCTTCAATTCTGCAGCCCTACATTATCCTTCTTTGAAGTTGTAATTATATTTACTAATTGTGCGACTCACGGTACTCAAAGACGGAAAATGTGATACATTTGCATATAAAGTTTCATATAATAATTGACCTCCGATTGTAAATAAATAAGTTGCAAAAAGCTTCAATCCATTATCATATCTTTTGCCATGTTTTTTTCTCATTGAATTAACACGAGCACTTTCGTATAATTTTTGTAAAAAAGGCGTAAAATTACAATTAGATTCGACAGTAGTTTGTTCTTTATTTTTATTTGAATAACGCTCTAAAAAATATTTTAATCGTTCTCGTAATTCTTTGTTATTGTTAATTTGCTTTTGCAACTCATCCATAATAGGAAAGAAAGCGGTAATTCGATGCTGATTGTCGGTCACAGACGAGTACATTTTTTTCATTCGACGTTCAACTTTAACAAAGTTTTGTCCAATGGATCGAACATTTTTCAAATTACTTACGGAATGATTTATCCGGCAATAACTCCGCATTAGTATTCCCCCTGATAATTTTTCTCATCATTTTTATTAAGAATGTTAAAAGAAGATTGCATTAATTCAGAATTTGCAGACAAGCTCGACTCGCATTCAACTGAAAATCTTGGCAGCACTTGTTTATTTGATTCTACGTGAGACGGGGAATTTTCGGACAAATCCGATTCATGTAGGACTTCATCAATATTTGTACATATGCTATTTTTACCAGATGTATCATTTGAGTTTGAACCGTTTGTCGAGCTTGTCGTGCCTGTTGAATTTGCAGCAAAAGAAAACTTTTGTATTTTTTGTTTTGTTCCTGTCGCAACTTGACTTGATTGACTGTTCTTACGATTTACATTTTCGTTTTTTACTAAGTGTCTTCTAAAATTCGAAATGACCCACCTTGAACCTTTTGTATCTATATCGCCACATTTTGTTAAGTTAGATTCGTTTGAACAATAAGGACATTTAATTTTTGCTGCATAAATATAACTCGTAGGTAATTTACCTTCCCCATACACATCAGAAACAGATATGTTGATTTCAGTTTTACTGAATATCTCTTTTTTTTAGCATCAGTTTCATTTGAAATTAAGTTTTCAACAACAGATTGGACTAATTTCATTAAATTTTTTTGCTCATTATTTATGTCTAAACGAGTTGGTGCATTGATTGACGAATCAGGTAGTTTGCTTCTCAAAGTATTGATTTGATTAATATTTATCTTACTGTTATCTACTCTATTATTCTCTTTCCAAAAATCATCAGTTTTGCTTTGAACAAATTTGATTAAATTTTGCAATATTATTTTATCCCCCATTATGAAAACAAAATTCTTTGGTACTTTATGAAATACACCATAAAAGGATTCGCTGTCTTGATCTGGCTCTAACAACAATTCCATACTGTCTCTCACAAAAATTTCAATTTCTTTCAAGGCATCGTCATTTAGCCCCCCGAACGCGACTGGGTTATCTAAATTATTTATTTTAAAGATGTTTTTTATGTAAACTGGCACCTTTATGTTCTTTTCCTTTTCAAGAATTTCCCAAAATCTTTCCTTTTCTGTCGTTAGTTCGCTCGGCTTCGCGTTCGTTGCAGCAAGTTCATTCTTGATGTCACTATCAGTACTTTGACTTTCAGCGTTGTCTGTAGTTGCCGAAAGCGAGAGGAATTCGTATGTTACCTTGGAATTCGCTATGACGATTGAATACCTAAGGAAAGGCAATAAACAAGAAACGGTGAAGCTTGCAATTACGTCCTTGAGTTAATACCTCCGTAATTTTTATAAATTGAATTTACTTACGTGTGCACTAATCGACTATTTCGAATAAACTGAGAAAACGCACGAGATCAGACGAGATGGCAACAAGAAACAAACGAAACAAGACTGTGCACGTCGAGCATGCCGACTGCGTTATCTTCGGCGATATCCTTTTCTCAGAAAAAATATTATGAGTATAGAAGTACGAGTGAAGACGCGATGGCATAGCACATACACATATTATGCTGCAGCGATCGGCCGGTGTTTTGGTGATTTGCACTCCGTACGTTATGCATGCCGTACGGGTTCGTTTTACTTTAGCGTTTTAGTATTTTGAAATTTTACCTACCTTCGAGCCCTATAGACATAATCTTCAGAATTTCGTGGAAATTCACAAAAATAAAAATAAAAAAGGATTGTAACTGATTTCAATGATTTCATTTGATTTCATTGATTTCATTGATTTCATACCGTGATTTCTAACCGGGCTTTTCAAAGCATGATTTCAAACTGATTTCATGATTTCCGGGGCGATCGGGTGACTTCAAATCGATTTCGAAATATAGGGTTACATGATTTCAAAGAAGTGAATAGCCCCTCGCATTAATCATTTTTATCATGAATAACATTCTTCTAACCACAAGCGATTTTTTCATGTAAAAATTTTCCATAATTTTATTGTAAAAGTGGCGTAATTTGATTATTGAATTGTGTCACTTACAACTTTAAAAAGCGATTTTTCCTCGAGAAGTAATTTATGTTAAAAAATTCGTCATTTCAAGTTTAATTTTTTAAATCGTATAATTGCAATTTCGATCGAGCCATTTTGCGATAAAACATGTACAAAATTTGTGTCAATGACAAAAATAGCGTTGTAGGGGCTACCAAGCGTAGAAAGGAGCCCATTTCGCAAGTATAAATTCGCTCGTCGCTGCGGCAAGAGGACTCACTATCCTACCTTGCTTAGCAGCGCGAGCACTGTTAGAGAAATAAAGCCTCAGCAATTTCCTGAGATAAATTTCTTATTCAGTGGTTAGCCTGCTAAACTCCCATCCTACAGATATCTAAGCGCTCAACTCATGAGAATATCTCTCTCATGAGAAAAAAGCAGCCTTAGACATCTTCCTACCCAAAATATATTTGCTGTTGAGAAATTAAGTTGAGTAGTGATTGCGGCGCTGTCGGGCCTCTCCCCGACAGATGCGACCACTCTCAATTGCATTTCGAAACAATTCATCGAGTTAGAAAGCCCTGTGGTTTGCTACTCGAAAGATTTTCATATGTTATTTAGATTACACGCGTGTCAACTTCTTGCTTTCCTCGGAGACGCGATTGCGAATTCAATATTAAGAGTCCAAACTATTGTTTTGATAACGCGAGATAGATTCAAACGTTACACTTCATGTGATTTTTTATAAAAATTTATCTTCTCCTAAAATAGGTGGGCTGAGATTCACTAAGCCACATACAGTAATTAAGATGTAATCCAAACTTTTGACCAAGTAATGAGGAATAATTCCTTTTAATAATTCAAACTGTTTGATACGCTGGATTGTTCTCTCTACATGTACTCGTGCTGCAGCAATGGTAGCTGTCTCATGACTTTTATCACGTGTTAATTTTTTATTCTTGCAGAAAGGTGGTCTTATCAACTTGACTCCAGCTAATGTACATTCAGCTTCAATGAGAAAACCCTTGTCTACCATCAAACTGTCTCTATTGGGCATAGTTTTTTTTTGCACAATATCTGACTCATTAAAAATTTGCTTATCAGATGAACGGCCACCATAACAAGAGCTGACATATGATATAAATCCAGAAGGTGTAATACATATCATAACTTTGCTAGTGTTACCTCCTTTATAAAATGAGAAGGTACGAATTTTGCATGTCAAACAATGCACTTTTTCAACTTTCATTTCTGTACAATCAAGAACACCAACAGTACTTGTATACTTTTGAAAGCATTGAGGCATATTCTTCAATATTTCTTCTTTGGGTGGCCATCTGATCACTGGTAAAAGAATGATACTAAGATCACATATTGTTTCCAAAAATACATTCTTACATGTATTTGGACATATTGAGAAAAAAACTGAAAGGCAGGTGTATGAAATATTCAACTTAACACGTATCATTGTTAATAATATTCTGTCTCTGTGTGGAAGAGTATATCTATTCTTGCCTTGTTCTTGCTTTAATCTTGACATGCATGTTATTAGGGAGTCCAATAGTTTGAAAGATCCAATACCAGTAAATACATTTAAATGCTCATATGTTTTCAAACGATCACCAATTGAAAATTTTTTTATTTCATATGGCATGACCTGGACTCCTACGTCAACCTTACTTTTGAGAATAGGATCACTGTCATCTATGCTGGTTTGTGTAGCAGCATCTATTACTTTTGACATAACAGGCTCAGTGTTTAGTTGTGACTTTGCAGCCAGAAACACATTCGAGTCAAAACTATTATCGCTGGGTAACAAAGGACTGGGATTGTGGCTGTCAGCAGAAAATATGTCTTCGTTCAAAATATTGCATTCTAATAGACTGTTATCTTGCAAGACTAAATAACCAGTGTTGAAAAGATTGCTGTCTTGATTGCTTTTTATTGTAGTTGAATCTGGCTGTTTTTCTGGGTTATTTTCCAAACTGAAACCTTCAAGTAATGGTGTTTCTTGTGTTAAGGTATTGTTGTTAATAAATGTAGCTTTAACCTCACTTCTGTAAAAAGGTAAAAAAATATTATTCTGGAAATTAAAATTCATTCATTATCATGTTACTAATGAAAATATACCTTGCTTTTCTGAGGTTCCTTTGCAAAAGTCTCTTAGCTCTTGATTCAATTAGACTTAGATTAACTTGTTTTTGAGAAACAAAAGTTTTTGGAAGGTTACGGCTTGGAGTTGCTAAGGGTTTCAACTTTTTTCTTATACAAAAATCACCTGAAAACATGTCAAAATCAGTGTTCACTATTTTAAAAGTGTCAAAAAATAGAAAAATGGTTATAAATTTACTTATTACCAAAGCAAAAATCATCAGACGAAAAGTGTTCACTACAAACTTTATCACTGCTACTGCAGTATTTTAATCGTAGCTTTTTTAACCATAACTTTTTGAGCTTTGAAGATGTAGGAAAGTTATGATAAGATAGGTCCGGATTCTGAATATTTTTACATTGCGGAACCACGCAGTATTTATGTTTATTTCATTTACAACGCTCCATTTTACTGTTTACTCCATAAGCAGCAGACAATATTTTCACCTTAGGCTACTTCGCCTAGCGACCACTTGGCGCTGCAGTCGTTTTTGCGATCACGAATACCCTAGAAACTGCACGCTGCGCAGTACCGTCACTAATAGCCCACTCACCGGTTGGGGGGGCCTCTTTACCGAGCAGGTGATGTCTCTCTGAGCAGGCGCGGATAATAAAACGATTTAAAGTTTATGACTTCGCTCTCTTCTTCTCTCTACTTCTCTTGCTTCTAGCTTCTATTAGTAAGATTTCTGTGTTCAGTCTATGTTTAACTCTCGCAGTAGCAAGTTACACATTTTAGTTTTCGCTCTACGTAAACATTATATTTCGTATAATATTCAACGGAGTTTTAGTATATGTACATGTAAATCGTACATAAATATATACATATAGTTATATACACACATTGTTAGGAGAAGGCAAGAAAATGATGCTCAGGGGTTGGCTGGAATCCACTAATTTATTTTAATTGAAGTCTACAGAATAAACTGTTGGAGCGAAAGTTACAGCGTGCGTATAGGAACTGTCAAGAAAAACCGAAAAGTGAAAAAAAAAAGAGAGAGAGCTAGCTGAGAGGGGGCGCGCGCAGCAGGAGAAGAACGATGAGCTGCCCCTACTCCGAATCACATTCGAGAACTCGTCCTCAGCGGTTATTTCACCAAACACACATACATATATTTGTGTATAAATATAAATATGTACTTATTTTACTTATTGTATATTATAAAAATCGCATCTGTATTTTATATACGAAATTTGAGTGTTTTCATTTTGAATATTCATTTTGAATATTCATTTTGAAGATGTAAGTAGCATACATATATTTTTTATTTATTCAATTTTGAAATTTCAAATACTAAATTTTTTCCTTTATTCATTATTGAGTTTATGAATACTTATTGAACTTCTTTTTTTTCTATTCTTCAGATTATTATGGCGAAGAGTTTGACTTCATCTCAAATTTCTGATGTACAACGGAAGGTGCTACTTGAAAAGAAGAAGATGGCTAACGTTGCCAAAGAGTACAATGTGTCGCCGAAAACGATCAACCGATTTAGTTTTGATGAAAACACACCGCCGAACCAGCAATCCACAGAAGTTAGGAAGCAGCAGATTAACTTGACAGTGCAGCAGAAGAGAGATATTCTGACAAAAATTGACAAAGGAGAAAAAACGCAGGATTTAGCCGTGAAGTACAGTGTTGATCCCTCGACTATCCGGAGAATCAAGACGAGCAGATCGGCGATACTGAAGAGAGCCCAAGAATTGGATGATAGCCAGCAAGTTTTGAGCAGCAAAAGAATTCGTGTCGAAGAAAATTTGCGAGAAAAGATTTTGTTCGAGTAGTTCAAGCAGCTGCGCGCCGCAGGAGTTCCAGTAACGGGTGATCTTCTCAAACTCAAGGCTTTGGAGGTCAATAAAATCATCGGAGGACCAAGTGACTTCAAGGCAAGCAACGGTTGGCTGGATCACTTCAAGAAAACGTACGGCATCCGTCAATTATCGATGCAAGGTGAAAAACTGTCGTCTGACACTACTGCGGCAGACGAATTCAAGATATGGCTCCAAAATCATCTTCGAGAAAATGGCTACGAAGAAGATCAAGTTTACAATGCCGATGAAACTGGTGCGCATTACAAATCATTGCCAAAGAAGACATTAGCAGCTGGCACTGAAAAACAGGCATCGGGATTTAAGGAGCTGAAAGAGCGTGTGACAGTGATGTGTTGCGCTAATGCATCGGGCACACACAAAATCACTCCTTTGATTATCGGCAAATCAAAAAATCCGAAATGTTTTGCGAAGTTCGAGAAAGAGAAGTTGCCGGTAACATACATGAACTCCCCGTCAGCTTGGATGGATAGGAAACTATTCATGGATTGGTTCAAAGACGTTTTCATCAAGGAGGTACACGAGAAACATCCAGAAGGCCGAAAGGTTTTATTACTGCTTGACAACGCTCCGTCGCATCCGCCTGCTGCTGAGTTGAACGCAATCGATGATACAGTACAGGTGTTATTATTCTTGCCTGCAAACGTGACAGCCCTGATTCAACCTATGGATCAGGGGGTTATTGAAAAGATGAAGAGAATGTTCAGAAAGAAGCTGCTACGAGAGCTGATTCTGCAGCAGGAAGGAGAAAGTATTATCAAGTTGGCTAAAAAGCAGACAGTTAAAGATTGCTGCTACCAAATTGCGAGCTCTTGGGACTTGGTGACTGAGCAGGACCTTCGCAATTCGTGGAATAGGATTTTCGGCCGGGCTACTTCTGAACAGAAAAATCAAGTATCGAGTGAAAACGTCAATCAATTGGTTCAATTACTCTAAAGTGTTCCTGAATATGCTGACTGCACTTTTGAAGTTGCAAAAAATTGGATCGTCGAGGACTATCAAGTGAATGGATGGAAAATTTTAGATGTCCAAGAAATTTACGAAAGGTATAAATTAAAAAACCTGTGAATCAATTACTTGACATTTTGTAAATAAAATTAAATTTTTTCGTTTCAGATTTACATCGTCAAATCAAGTTGAAGGCGAAGATTTAAGCGAAGAAAATTCTATTCATGAAGATGAAGAATCAAGTGAGTCTCTTCCAAAGGAAATTTCTACTGAAGAAGCTTTTAATGGTCTGATGAAATTCAGAGCGTGGTTTGAAAGGAGATTTGAATCAACTTCAACCCATCTGAACAATATTCAAGAACTCATGGATATTACAATGGATATTTACAATAGTGCAGTATAATTTTTCATTTAGAATGATTTTCAAAATATTTTTATTTATAATGATTACTTTTTTAGTTTCTTATATTTAGCTTTTTTAATTTCTTTTTTTATATAATATTGATTTCTTTTTAAATTGTTTTATTTAGGATGATTTTAAAAAATTTTTTTTATTAATGGTTTTTAATTTAGAAAACTTTGAAACATTTATTTATATTTTTTTATAAATATGATTCCGACTACATCTTATGAGACTGCATCATATAGATACTCTGTTTAAAAGTGTTAAAAATTAAATTGAATTACGATATAATAATTTTGAATTTTTACAAGAAACATTGGTATTCAATTTTGTGACAATATGTTTTACATTGATTGTAAATATGTGAAATGTTATTAAATGTATATAGTATTGTGTATTTATATTTTTTAAAGATCTTTGTAATGGTTCGAAAAATAATAAAGATTAAATTAACCTATTATGAAGTTATTTATTATGCACTCTAAAGTTATTCACAAAAGTTAATTAATTATTTTGTATGGGAAAATTTAAAAATAATTATTTGTCAGAGAAAAACTCCTATATTTTTGTATTTAAAGTGGTTTTTTTCATTCAACTTTTCAAATTTGTTATTAAAATTAAAAAAAGTAATTTTAATTGAATTATTTTAATGCCGACAAAATCCAATATTGTTCTATTAAATAAAAAAATTATCCTGCTTAATTAAACAACTACGAACAATTGCGCGAAAATTTTTTTGGGGCTCTTTTAGTGCTACATATGCCCGTACCTGGCGCAGCGCTGTGATTGGCTACCGCCAGCGTGCAGTGCCGTAGGTTCGACTGTACGATTTTTTCAGATCGATGGTCGAAAAAATTTTTTTACCATGCAGAAGAAGCAAATCATTGATCCTTGGGATCGAATAGCGATCTGAAACGGTCTGAGCGTTCAGATTTCTGTAGTCTCCAGTTGGGGGAAGCTTCCCTGATAGTGACTTAACCATATGAATGGAACTGGCATAAGCACTGCTCGATGGTCGTATAATACCCGCTCAAAGCAGCTCCTTATACACTCCGCCTTTGCTGCCTGCAATTTTTCACCAAGCATTTGGCGAGGTTTTGCAAAAACTGGGAGCCAGTCGTGACGATGTGGTGCTAAGTTTTGATAGTCGAACAAGCAATTTGGCCCTCCTGAGCCACTAATCGCTTGAAGAAACCATTGATAAGTCCTTGGCACTCACTGGCAGTTGCAGATTGCGCAGGACAGATCGTCGAGACGGAGTGCGTACTGGCGCGCTCGATGCTGCCAGGCACAGCAAGGCTAGTTGTAGCATCAACAAGTTGGTCAGGTACTAAGCCGTAGTACCCCAGAAAGTCAATCCCGAGAATTAGGGTTTTGACATCAGCTAAGACGAAAGACCACGGGAACACTCTCTGGAGGCTTAGGTCTACCAGGATTGTTCGACGTCCCCGAGTCATGATGGCTGACCCGTTGGTTGCAGAGAGGTAGATGACGTCCATGGTTGACTTACCCTGGCCATGAGCCGGAATTCACTGTCGACCAGGAAACGCAAGCCTGATGAGCGGACGAATATGTGCAGCCGGTTTTCCTTGAGATGCTCGGATGATGAGGTTAGGGCGACTGATGAGTTGCTACCTGTCGCCTGCGGATACATGTTTTCCAGCATTGGGAGTTGTTGCTGTTGTTGTGGCTGATGTCAAACATAGGTGCAAGGGCGGTTACAGCGGTTGGCAGCTGCACCAAACCTGTTGTGGTAGTAACACATCCCGTTTATGTGCGGTCTCGGCTTGGAGTGTGAACGGCTTTTGTTGTTGGCTCCTCCTTGCCTGACGTAAGGCCTGGACTGTCGTGCTACTACGACGGCTTCAGCAAGCAGGCTTGAGCCTCAACTATTGCCTTCTTATAATATCTTATTTTAGCTGATAAAGTCAATATTAAGATCAACATTGCATGTATTTTTTGTTCGAGGGACGTATTGTTTTTTTTGTCTAAATAATCATCGAATAAACCTGAAAACAATTTTTAAAACTGATGTGGTAGTAGATAAACGAGAGAGGCCTCAGCTCAAAGGGGCATCAGCTCACTGAGCTGATTTTGTGCGCGCATGTGGCCATTTTCCCTTGGCGGTGAGCAGCGTTTTGGTTCGGACAGGGAGCGCGACACAAACTAATCTCACACTCAACAACCACAGCCAACACACACACACATACCAGGACGATAATTACATTCAAGAAACAACAGCAACACTAATAACAGCAACAACGTCAACAGCACTAATAACAGCAACAACATCAACAGCATTAATAACAACATCACCGATAATTAACAAACAAAAACAAGGAAAATCAAAGAAGATAGTTAACAAAGAAATTTTGTATCACTGTAGCATTAAGCAATATAAGCAGAGGAGGTATCTCGCAGAGGAGGTCGAAAGGACGGAGCAACATATCAACAGCGCGGAGCAAGTCGCTGTTGTGATTCTCTCTCTCTCTCTCTCTCTCTCTCTCTCTCTCTCTCTCTCTCTCTCTCTCTCTCTCTCTCTCTCTCTCTCTCTCTCTCTCTCTCTCTCTCTCTCTCTCTCTCTCCGAGGTGCCGATCGAGTGTTACGTAGTCCGGCAGCTCTGCCGGCTACGAAGTCGTATATTGACATTGTTCGAGTGTAATTGTTTTTTTTTCTTCTATATTCAAATGTATTTTCTTTTTATATCTTTTTTCTCAATTAAACAAATAGCGGTTCGGTGAGCAGCCCTGCAGCTGATCAGCTGCGCGTTCGCGGTTTCGAATTTAATGTAACGGCAGCATTATTTCTATTGTTCATATTAAGTTTGTTGTTTTATCATTAAAGTTGTTATTATATTTAAATTTCTTATTGTGATAATTCTACCTGGAATCACTCCTGATCCCGCAATAGTTTATTCGCGTATGATTAATGCTTTCGCTCGACGCATTATTCAGTCGTGGGAACGTTTTCCTTTGCTTCCCGAATCCCCCTTTATCAATCAAATAATTTGTACGGACAGTCGCGAGCTACCTGGATAGGGACGACTGGATTTTTCCGTTACAGTATTAAAATCTATTAGAATCAGGCATCTTAGTGGCAATTCCAAAATGAAGTATGAAATTTTAATAGAATTCATGGCCACACCTTTCAAGAAAGACAGTTTCTAAAGAATCATAAATATAAACTTAAAAGTGTTAATGATGATGATCTTATAAATAAATCACCAAATTTATTATCAAGAATTTTAATCACTCATATATCAGGTATGTATACAGAAAATTGAAATTATATATTGAGTTTATTAAATTTCCAAGGAAATTTTTGATTATATATATAGATATTGCTAAAGAACTTGAAGCTAAAGTAGCTACAGCATCATTTAGGACCCCAGCTCTTAAAAATATAGATACAGCAACAGATTCTGAGATCAGTGATGACCATAATCAACAAAAGGCTAATACGTCTTCAATCACCAGGTTAAAATCAAAGTTCCAGGTACCGTATGGTGCTTGTTTTGTTTTTTGTTTTCATTAATTAAGAGCGTCATATTGCTTACTTAGTATATTTATATAACAAAATTCCAATAAATTCTGTAAACTAGTTTTTAAGAATGGTCAAATCTCATATGTAATTTTAATACTTAGTTGTAAATTTCTAAGTCTCTAAAAATATTACACATTTTTATTTTACCTATTATTATTTGATTAATTAATTGCAAAACTATTCATAAAAATATATCGAATCAAAAGCTTATGTGTGATTTTCACACTCATTAATATCAGTGACGCGAAAAGAAAATCATGGGTGTACCCCACTTTACGTAGTACTCCGTTTTGCCTGGTACTCCGCTTTGCCCGGGTATCCCCTATTTATCAATAAAAATACATCTTGAAAATCGAACATGAAAATAAAATACAATTTATATTAAAAATGTTTAAATAAATCTTTAAAATCAAATGGTTGATTGCTGCTTGACTTTGAATGATGATGTTCATCTCTATTACAATAAATTTTCGAAGTAATTAATTAACTCATGATAAAATGAAATACGCATACATCACATACAAATTTTGTTGCGTTCGATAATAATTTCATTAATTCATTTTAACAATCTGTACACAGCGTCTATCAAAAGCTAATAAAAAATGTAAGGGCACTTATCTAATATCGAATATACTAAATATAAGTTATTGTAATATAATAATATATTTATAAAAGATATTTATATATAATAATGATGATTCCGTTAAAAGCTTAGAAAAATTCCAGCTGACGAAACATCGCAAAAAATTTGTTATTTATTTACCTTTCTTCTGAAAAACTTGACTCTCATCAAATCAATAAATTGATTGTCTGTCAATAGACTTTGTCGACACTAATTTCAATTTTTTACTTCGTTCATAAATTTATTGTTAAATAAATATTCTCACATTGACACGAACGGAGTCGATTAAGCATGCGATATACTTTGTTTTACGACTAACACATTTGATTCATCGCATATCGAATACAAATGCACAAGTTGAAAAATACTATTGATGCTATTGTACACAATGCTGATAATTGCTTACATCTGCTGCAGTATAGATCCATCTAAGAGTCATATAAAGTTACGTATTTGCCTGTTTCAAATTAGTCTTCTTGAAGACTCTACTACTGCAATAATCCAAGGTAATAACTTCAACTTCTATAAATTGATCTAATCTTTTCTCGTGATATATAGTATAACCAATTTTTAACTATTTCACAAAACATTTATGCATAAGTACAGAAGGAAACCCGTTTTCAAGCGTATTTTTGTGCACGTTTGTCAGAAAAGCGTTGAGTCAAATATAAACTTTCCGTAATTTTTATTTAAAAAAACGATGGAATGATACATGTCCGGAGAAAAAGATTGTGTTATTTCATTACATTATTTTTTCTTTATATCAGGAAAAAAGTAGCCGCCAGATAGGCCAAGGTTCCTAGCTTTTTTATTTTAATAGCGCACCGTTTCTGATACTTCCAAAAGCTTTCATTTACTGTAGCGAAATTCATAGGGTTATCTGTAATTTATTCCGCTACGTAAGAACAAAAAAATAACTCTAATCTGAAAAATATGTTTTAATAGGCAAGAATGCTACTTTATCATGATTCTACTTGTTTTTGGAAAAAAATTTATTCAATAAATTCAATAATCTAATATTTAGCAAAATATATCGTGACTTTTGCAATGTTAGGTTAGGATATCTCGATAACCTTAATTAATGGATCAATTCTGAAGGTAGATTCTGATTCAACGCTTTGAAAACTTATGGAAATATATTATAGCGTTTTTGGGTTTTCTCCATTTTGAAATTTTGTTGGCCTGTGTTCTTTAAAGCATATGCAAACGTAAAATTGACAAATTTTTGCCAGTTTATTATTTTTCTCGCTACAGACATTGGTGGGGATCTTTAAATAAATCACAATGTATGTGAATTTTACAATGTCATTCACAGAATGTACGCAATTTTATATCCACTGCTTTATTAGACAATTTAACTGTTGATATATACGTCTATACAAACATTCGTTTTGCCGACTTTGAAACTATTAAAAATGGTGGTTAACATTTATAATACAAAAAATTAACTATATAGCCTTAATTGGAAGTATTATTTATATATTTCTATGTATTAATTCATAACTTTTACATTTTAATAATGATAAGAAGTTTACTCCACAATCTTTTAATTAAATGTTTGTTAGTGCAAACATTGCACCCTTGATCCGGACTTTACTGTAACGTATAAAACTTTAAATAGACCTATACAGTTATGGCATTTTACATCAATACCAAAATCGAAGATCATAAAAAATTTATAAAAATGATGGCTCATTCAAATACATAATAAATTGAGTGATTTTTCAATTACACGAATTGCAAAATCAATTTAACAAATATTAAATAATAAATAAATTTAATTCTTAAAATCGTATTAAAGTTGTTTCAAGAAAAACTATATAATAAGATGATATTATTCCTATTATAATTTTTTAAATGTATACCATAACTTTTATTAAAAGTTTATTTTTAACATTACTATCTTATGAATACAGGTCAATAGAAGAAACTCTCGTGAATATGAAATTTTGGATTATCTTCTTTTTAACATTACACCAAACACTATCTCAAGGTATATTTATGGCCAATTATGGTTATATCTTTCTTTATTTTTTAATCAAAATTTTTAACTGACTGAAAAAATCAAAGTTCTGCATAAAAATCGCACTGCTATAATAAAATTGCATAATCAATAAGTCTAACAAGGGCCGGCCCCGCTCCCTCCTTCCTACTCGACCTCATCGATTTTAATATTTTTTTGATATGTTGTAGATCATAGAAAAATAAGTAACGCGTGTCTTTTTTATCTGCAGAAAGACACTCTGAAGGGATGAAACCCGCCCTTAAATTCCACCTTCAAAAATGAATTTTGCAATTTATTTCAAGTTCTAATTAATATTTTACAATAAAATAAATTTCATTTCACTTCTCATTTAAATGCGGAACTAGTGCATGCAATTCCTACCACAAGGGATATAATTCTTATTTTCTTATTGACAATTCTACCATTATACGTAATGTATATCATAATGAATTATAAATCAGGACCTGAAGAATATTAAAAAATTTGTTTGAGGGTAGTTTATTCATTTTAAGCATATTTCGAAAAATAATCTCAAACGGCTCAACTTTATGTTTGTAGTCAATCCACGATAATATTTTTTCTAATTTTTTTGGCTCATTTACAATTTTTTTTTATAAAAATATACACAAAAATTGTAGAATTATCAATAAAAAAAAATAAGGATTGCATCCCTTATGGTAAGAAATGCATGCACTAGTCTCGCATTTACATGAGAAGTGAGATAAAACTTATTTCATTGGAAAATATTAATTAGAATTTGAGATAAATTGCAAAATTCATTTTTGAGGGTAGAATTTGAGGGCGGATTTCACCCCCTCAAAGTGTTTTTCCACAAATAGAAAAAAACCTGTGTTTTTTATTTTTCTATGATCTACAACATATCAAAAGAATATTGAAATCTATGAGGCTGGGTTTAGGCGGAGTCCTTAAAAGTGAAATCTATGATATAAAAACTATAAGATTAACAAATTCCAATGAATTATAAGAAACTCACAAAGGTAATATTTTCGATTTTATTGATGTTAATACTTGTTAGGATGAAAAAGACTGTCTCAAACATACACGGTAGAAAGCCAAATTATTTTCATATGGATAGCACTACATAAAATAATAAAAATAAAAATCATGCACTCTCAAATTTTAGTAAGAGCTCTACATGAATATTAATAAAATACGAAGCCTTATTAATGGTGTCTTTCTGTAAAATTGCTCGTGTAAAAGTACGTATACAGGGATAAGGGACTTTGTATTCTTTAGTCATGTCCTTTTTTGTTTTTTTTGACTCCTTTGAATTCCTTGTTTCTGAATCTTTTAGCGTATTTTTAGCCTCATTCTGGTAACTCCTCTGTGTGTGTGTGGGTGAGGGGGGGGGTGTACAGCTGCGTGCAAAAGTGTCTGGCTAAAGATAATTTTATGTTTTAATAATATATAAAGATTGCAAAGTAGAAACACAAATATAATAAAATGAGAGATATATTGGTCACTAATATTATAACATCATTAAATAAAAAAATTCTTAACAGTACGTATGAAAAAATAATAGATGAAAATTACAAGAAAACTCAAGAGCTTTTCCTGATGGAGTTCAGCCGCTTGGTGATGGACGTCACAAGAGTCTCCACCGCATTCCAGCCCGCCTGTGACCAGAGCAAGCAGTGACCCATTCCCTCGAATGTTAAGGACTCTTTCCACGTTGATTGGAACCGCTCCCACTCTTTTTTAAACCGTGGACAGTGAAAGAGGGTATGCTCTACGTCTTCATCAATTTCGCAACATTCCGAATACTCTGCGCTTTGGTACACACATATCCCATGCAAGTAGCTACAGAAGCAGCCGTGTCTAGTAAGCGTCTGGGTAAGGTGGAAGATGACGAAGCCTTGCCTCTCACTGATCCATTCGGTCACATTCGACATATCGACCAAGTAATGACACAATGGGTATAGCGACTCTGTGTGGCTGAATCCCATCTCTGTTAACAAACTTCTGTTGTCTATCTCATCCCCTGGTCGTGGTTATGCTCTTCTCATCGTTTACTTTTCCCATTATCATTGGGCCGCTCTCGGAACTGCCAAGCCTGCCAGCGTTTAGCTCCGTAGTTCCAATTGCTATACAGAGCATCAGCCCATATTGACGTTCCGTATAAAATTACGGAGCGCACCACCGAAGATAGGAGGATTCAACGCGGCTGCTTCTGTTCTCCGATGTTGAGCATAATAATTCTCGCCAGCGCTTTACCTACTGTCGATGCCTTCATGCCTACATTCATCAGGCTGTTCTTTAAATGACAACTGCGCATCAATAGAGACCCCTAGGTATGAATACTTAATGGTGGCCACCGTCCACATCTTCTTCTATTACCGAATGATAATTTTAGTTTTTCAATTCATGTAACTATTATTCTAAATATTAAAAAAAAATTTATAATGATTGGATAATACTAGAAGCAAAAGACTGTTATACACAACTACTTATTAAACATTATCACGAGAAATATTTTTATGGAAGTAATGAGTCAGTATTATATGAAATACGTCAAAATTACCGGATTGTAAGTTTACTTAAAGCTTTATGGACTACAGTTGCAAAATGTGATATCTGCAAGTGGCTCCGCGGACACCCACCATATCCAAAAATGGTTAATTTACCCATTGTTTGATTAGCTTATCAATTTAAACTGCTTTCAGTACAATATAGATTTTTTTTTAATTTATTGCTTTATTAACTACAGGTTACATAGTTATTTAGCTTTATATTATAATAATGAAAATAATAGGATACATATTTATGCAATAAGTGTGTACACTTTGTATTCCGTACATTATATAGTTTTATATTTTGATTTTACATTTTTTAATAAATATGAAAATTTTTTGCATAACACTAATATTTGGTTTTCCTAAAAAGCTTTTTATGTCAAATGGGGGGTACAGCTTAACTTTTGCCAAAGATTTAATTAAGTCGCTTCTATGAGTTTCATACAGTGGACACTGTCATATGATGCGGTTAAGATCTTGCACTCCCGATTTGCATTCGCAAATGTTATCTTCTACTACGTTAATTTTGAAAAGCGATTCACGTAAGCTATGGTGATTGCTGCGACACCTACAAAGTGTTACTATAAATTCTCTATTCAATGCGTGTTTCGCGTACCATGGTTTAGAAGTTTTGTTATAATACATTTCAAAGTAAGTCTTGCCTTTAGACATGCCTTCATTTCTTAACCTTTTAATAGTTTGTTTGTTTATCATAACTTTGAAAAATTGCTTGAAGTCACTATACGGTATATTCTTAATAAATGGTAATACTTCTGTAGCTTTTTTGGCGTGTTGGTCAGCGAGCTCATTGCCGCTGATTCCAACGTGTGCAGGGATCTAGTAAACAGTGACCGTAGAATTTCCGACACTTATTTTTCAAAATTCTAAATATTTTTCCCTTATTGCTAAGATGTGATAATTAATGTCAACTTTGTTTTTTGGATTGTTCAAAGCTTGTATTGCGCTTAGTGAATCTGTGAAGATGTCAATATCGTAGTTTGCGTATTCTAGAGCAATGTCCATAGCATCAGATAAGGCAATACATTCAGCGGTGAAAATAGATGCTTTGTTAATAATACTTTTTGTTTTAATAATATTCAGGTCAGAACAAATACATGCACTACCAACTAAAGATCCGCTTTCGCTTTTGCTGCCATCCGTGAATTTGATTTCAAAAAAATGTGTGAAAATTCATATTTTAATGGATGAAACTTTATTAAAAGTATTTTTTGAACAATTTGTCAGGATATTCACAGTTTTTTAGTTCATCTCCAACTTTAGTATTGGTTTTAACTTGTATTTTCATAATTGAACTATCGTAATTGTAAAGGCTAGGAAGGTCGTCCTCATGAATTAAGTGTTTGATACCGACAACGTGCTTTATGCACTCGTTCAAGATATTAATTTTTTTCTTTTTATTTTTAATTATTTCTAGCATATAGTTTTCTATAGTTTTTCTTGTTATTGAAAGCTTGACGCTGAATGTTTTTAATAGAAAATTAATGCATAACATTTTAGACCTATGTTTTATCATTGTTAATTTGGATTCATCTATCAAGGCGTTTGTGGGTGTGCTTGTTTGTTGACCCAGTGCCATTCTAATAGCTGCGTACTGAATCTTTTCCAGCTTTTCTTTTTTTATCTTTTGCGTTGGGTAGTAAATAAAAGAGTCGTAATCTATAATAGATCTAATGTAGCTTTTATAGAAAGTTAAAAGTGTATTGGGATGAGCACCTCAACATACGCCTCTGAGAAATTTAATAATATTTAAGGCTCTGTTACTTTTTTCATGGACGTATCTTAAATGTTTGTCGAAAGTTAGTTCGTAGTCGAAATACAAGCCTAGAAATTTAACGTGTTTTGTCGAAGACAAACTTATATCATTCAATACAATTTCAGTATCACCAGGCAAAAACCCTTGTTCGTTGAAGTGTACATAATTAGTTTTTTCTGTTTAGGCGTCTAAATCGATAGCTCTTAGTCTGTTGATTACTACTTTCAGTGCTTTTTCTAGTACAGGTTTAGCAGTATATGGGTCGTCTGTTCCGATATACAATACAACATAGTCAGCGAAGTGCAAGTTTTTAATTTTAATGTTAAGATCGATGAATACATCAGCTATGTAAAATAAGTAGAATAGCGGATTTAGTACCCCGCCTTGAGGTACACCTTTATAGCAATTTTTCGGAGTATCTAAGTTAATTTCAGAAAAAATAAGTCTGTGGTGTACTAAAAATTTAATTAACTTTATAATCTTAGAAGAGCAACCCTTATTTGCGAGAATTGATAGCAATGTTCTATTGTTCACTTCATTGAAAGCGTTACTAACATCTAAAAACACTGCAAGAACATGTTTATTATTCTTAAGTGCATTTTCTACATCCAATTTGAATGCAGTAAGATTATCAGTTTACACGATATTCCCTTCCGAAAGCCTGTTTAACATGGGAGCAG